GGGGCTCTGCAGCCCTTCCAGCCCCCCTCCACCCCACAGAGGCCTGCCCACCTGCCCATCTACACCTCCCCTTCTCATCTCTGGCCTCACAACCCCCTCTCCACTCTCCAAGTTCTGGCTGGCCTCAGTTTGCTCTCTTGCTAAGGGGGTGTCAGTAGCCTGGGGTCCCTGTCCCCCACATTGGGGTGGGCCAGATCCTTTGAGCCTCTGTCCCGTTCCCCATGCCTGCTCCATGGATCTGGGCCAGGCCCCTGCCCCCTGCCGTGGTTCTAGACCAGCTGGTGTGGGCGCTAGGACATCAGGGGTTGACAGGCCGGGAGAAGACGAGCCTTGGTGGGGGACAATGGACCGGGAAAGACTTTGGGAGGGACCAGAGCAGAGGGTGGAGGAGGTGGGGAGGCCATTGGAGAAACCCTGACAACCAGACGCGGGGAGGAAGGAGGAGGGTTCAGAGGCTCCTCGGGCTGTAGGGCACAGAGCAGCCTCCTGGGTGCAGGCAGTGTGTGGAGGGCAGAGTTAGGGTAGCAGCGAGGGTGGGGCTCCCCGCTGGGGGAATCAGCCGGTACACCTGGCCGTGATACCTGTTAAAGAGACAGGTGACAGGCCCTCGAGCGGCTACATCAGGAGGCCGCCTGTGTTCGCTGCTCGCGACCCTGCTCAGAAGCCTGCGATGCTCCCTTTGCCCCCTCAGCCAGCCAGGCTGCTGTCAGACCTTCTGTCCCCCTCAGGCTGCCGCACCCTCCTCTGCCCTCCCATCTCCCAGGCTGTTTCCCATCCACCCTTGCTCTGTGCCTTTCCCTCTCTTAAACCTGCACGTCATCCACACATCAATCAAGGCTCAGCCCATGTGCCACCTCCTCCCGGAAGCCCTCCCTGATTACACATTCCAGCTCCCCATCTGTGCAGCGCTTAGAAAAGGACACTCACTGGGCTGACCCCCAAGGTGCTGCCCAAGTGGTGGGGTGAGCCTGCCGTGGCTCATGGCTCTGATGTCAGACTCCAGGCGACTTGGAAGTGAGACCTGAGCTAACAGAGCCGCCCTGTGTTTGCTGTCGCCCTGCACTGCCTGGATACAGAAGCCACTGGGTTCTGCCATAGTAACGGGGCCAGTCTGTGTATATCCCTTCATTCCTTCATTCGCCCGCTCAGGCGTTCACTCCACAGATGTTGTGAGAACTTGTGTCCAGCGCAGTGTAGGGGCGGATATGCCATCAGTGATAACGGGAGCGGCAGCCGTGCCCTGAGGGCCTGCTGGGCGGCTGGCCCGCGGGGGAGTGTGGTGGAGAGGTGAGGGCACGGGTTCATGCCCCATCTGTCACTGGCTACGTGACCATCGACAGGCATGCACCGCCTCTGTGCCTGAGTTTCTGCGCCTGTAGAACGGGGTAATGATGTGCGCCGGAGGGCTAGGGCGTGGAGTGTGAGAAGGTCATGCAAAGGGCTCACACAGCAGCTGGCGCGTGGTAAGAGTGTGGTGGTACCTCGTCATACAAACGAGAATCACACATTCTGCAAGGAGGTCACGGCGTTCCCATTTTACAGACGAGGAAAGTGAGGCCAGAGATGTTAGGGGCTTACCCAGGTCACACAGCTCGTAAAGCGGAGCCAGGAGCCAAACTTGGTCTCAGTGTGCAAACCTGTGGCGATGAATAGGCCCGGTCCCTGCACCGCAGCCACTCAGTCAGCGGGGAGCGGAGGGATGGGCACGAGGCCCCGAGAGCTGGGCGGGAAGGGCCGGGGAGAGATGCCGCCAGGCGGGCCACCCCTCCTGCCTTCACAGCGGGGAGATTTGGGATTGGCCCATGGAGCCCAGAGGTACTGACGGGAGGCGGTGATCCAGGGCAGGTGTGAACACGGAAGGCTGGGCGGGCGCTGGGTAGGAGCGTGTCTGCCCAGCTGAGGGGGCTCTGACTTTGGGGTCTGGCTGAGGGTCCTGGCCGCCCTCTGCTGCCGGCTCTGGAAGGAGCAAATGGGGTCCAGCCGGCAGCGCCTTCGGGGGAGGCCCTGGTCCCTCCTGAGCCGCACCCCCCTGCCTGCAGGGGGACGTGGTGCGGTTGTTCCACGCGGAGCAGGAGAAGTTCCTGACGTGCGACGAGTACAAGGGCAAGCTGCAGGTGTTCCTGCGCACCACGCTGCGCCAGTCCGCCACCTCGGCCACCAGCTCCAACGCCCTCTGGGAGGTGGAGGTCAGAGCCCTGCCCCTGGCGCCCAGGCCCAGCCCTTCGCTCCAGCTCTGGCTCCACCCTCCCTCTTCCTCCATCACTGGGAGGGGTGGGGGCGGGGAAGGTGGTCCCTGCCCCTCCTCTGAGCCCCTCCAGGGCCAAGGGACCAGGACAGGCCCAGGAGCCCCTGCCCAGAGCTCCGCAGGCCTCCAGTGCCCTGCCTGTCCATGCCTCCCCGGAGCACCCCCTGCGGGTAGCTCACCCGCCTCACCCTGCACCCCCAGGTGGTCCACCACGACCCCTGCCGTGGAGGCGCCGGCCACTGGAACGGCCTGTACCGCTTCAAGCACCTGGCCACGGGCAACTACCTGGCTGCTGAGGTGAGTGGGGGCAGCGGCATCTGGGAGCCCTGGCTGGTGCTCGCGGGCACGCACGCGCTGTGTGCCTGGTGCACGCCACACGCAGACACGTGTCTGGACCCTGCTTCTCTGCACTCAGGCGCTTATTTAACAAATAGCAAGTAACTGCGTGACTGTAAATGAGCCTGTAAGAATGACTGTGCCCTGCCTGGTGCCAGGAGCTGTTCTAGGCACTGGGGTACCATAGGAAGCGAACTTCCCAGCATCCGTGTCTGTCCGTGTTGCACAGGCTTGTGTGGACTGGGCATTGTGCGTGTGCGTGTGTGTGTTCATCTGTGGGCTCCGGAGGGGCCATGGAGGGCAGGGCCTGGGGCTCTCATTGGCGGCTTCTCCAGGAGTCACATGGGTTTCGGGGCTGAGGTGGGCACCCCTGGGGGACATATATGAACATATATGTCTCGGTGTGTGTGTGTGTGTGGGGTGTCACGTGGTATAGCGTGGTGTCTAAGAGCTCCCCGACTTGTTTCTCTTTCTAGGAGAACCCCAGCTACAAGGGTGATGCCTCTGACCCCAAGGCAGCAGGAGCGGTGAGGACAGGCGCAGGGCCCCGGGCCGGGGGGAGAGTGGCGTGCATCGCTCTGGGGGTGGGCAGACAGGGGGCCCGTGAACCCCGGGAGGTGGGCTGGAGAGGGCGGGCCTCTCTGGTGAGAGGCGGTGGTTCCAGGGGGCCTGAGAGGAGGGAGGGGCTCCTGCCTGAGTTGGGGTCTTCACCAGGGAGTGCAGGGCCGCCCAGGCCGTCGGAACGCTGGGGAGAAAATCAAGTACCGCCTGGTGGCTGTGCCCCACGGCAACGACATCGCCTCGCTCTTTGAGCTGGACCCCACCACGCTGCAGAAAACCGACTCCTTCGTGCCCCGGTGGGTAGGCGCCACGTGCCTGTGGCCTCAGGACCTGCAGGACTGTCCCTCTGGGAACTGAGCTCTGAGCCGTGTAGGCAGCTCACCACCCTTGGACGCTTGTTGTGTGCCAGCCCTGGGTGCCGCTCTATCGAAGTGCCTTCTCTCCAGTGGGTCTGGGCGGGGCGGGGAGGGGGGCTGACTGTAAGGCCCCCAACCCTGAGATTCTAGGACATAAGTCACATCAGGAGACTCCCTGGTGTCAGTCAGGCGTTAGCCCTCGTAGGGCCCTCAAGCACATGCCCTGTCCAGTGGGACTATGGTGTACCCATCACCAGCGCGGGTGAGAGGACAAACTGAGGCTCTACAGGCCATGCCCCTTGGCTGCAGCTCTCGGGCAGGTGCTGTTGGAGGTTCAGATTGCCTCTTACTTCAGAAAGGTCATCACGTTTCATAAAGCCATGGCTTTCCGCGGTGAAAGCAGCACGTTGACACTACGCGGGACACATGGCTGCGCAGCCTCATTTGTCCAATGGATTTTGGTCCCAGATTGACAAGCCTTGGCGTGGAGCTTTGGGTGTGGGAGTGGGCGAGGCGCGGGGGCCTGGGTCCGTGCAGCAGTTAGCGCAGGGCCTCCTCTGGCTCCTCACCTGGAGGGGACCCACCCAGGCCCGTGTGGTCAGCGGGGAGATGGGAAGCGTTGGGGAGCAGACGGCTGGGCGTGCTGTGTACACTCGGGTCCTTCCTGCAGGAACTCGTATGTGCGGCTGCGGCACCTCTGCACCAACACGTGGATCCAGAGCACCAACGTGCCCATCGACGTGGAGGAGGAGCGGCCCATCCGGCTCATGGTGGGGCCGCCTGGGGCCGGGGCCGGGGC